CAAATTCCCGGTGGAGGCCATCGTTCCGGCCTCGCAACGAGGTAATGTTTCACGAAAGAAAAAATCTAGAATAAGTTTAAACTGAACTGATAATTTTCTGCTACGCTTACAGTATTATGCTATTACATTTTTACACTTATAACATTTTCTTATTACATTTACACTTATTATGCAATTTTTGCAGGAGACTGGGACAGCATTTTCGATGCATACCAGTAGTAGGTCGATCAGTGCCGGAATGAATCGAAGTATGTGATTGTATTGATATCTTCGATTTCTTTTGTGCGGTCGATCCGTTGCATACAAAAATATCGTGGGCAGCATTCCATGCTGGATGATGACAATTGAGGTGTTTATTTCGAGAAAGAAATTTGATCTAGAGTAAAATTAGACTAAACGAATCATTTTCTTCTTTCATTTACTATTGTTTACGATTAATTGTTTACATTTTTTTACATTTTTCCAAAATCTATGTGGGCGTAACTGTCGCTCACCCCGTCCACCCTCAGGCTACGACCCTGAACAGAGTAGTAGATGTGTAACGTTGAAATGAGTGTTCATGTAGAAATGATGAAGTAGAAGAATCCAAACTTATTGTAGTAACCGGAATAATCTTTAATTATTTTAAGCGCTTTCGCTCGCGACCAGAACCAGAATCCCTACTCTTACATCTCTGTTCTATATATTCCCCCCAAAACTCCTACAAACACCTTGCACGCACATGTACCCGTTCTCCCAGACCGCGTCTTACCCCCCATTTCACAATGACCCTAGAAACGGCCGACCTAAAACACGTTTACTATTCTCCCTATAACATCAATCTAGCCGCACAAGATGCGCGACGCTCTGTCTAGCTATACTATGACTAAAACAACTACTAGTCTAGCTCCACTGAATAATTCATGTAATTACGTGCAAAACACATGTTACATTATCTCCCTTTTCTCCAAAACGATGACTACCCTGTCATCGATTCAGCGTCCTCGCTGATCTACACTTCAACCTGAACCTAAACAATTCTAAAAAAAATTACTACCCTAATACTTCCTAACTCAACCCAACGAGAGAAACGTCTTTCTGTCCGATTAAACAACCCACAATCAATACACAAACATAACAACAATAAAAATACAATAAGAAAACACATATGAAGCGTAGAAAACAAGTAACGATAAAGTTTGATCACAATACAAGTCAGAAGCTCAACACATATGGCAGTGAACATTTTGATATCGCTGCAATTACTCTCACTCTTGCGTCTTTTTATGCTGTAATGTACGTGGCGTATGCGTGTACCGACACGCATTACCGAAGCCACGTTTCCAACCATGTGCTCCATTATATCAGGAGTCTGATTATATCCTCATAATCCCATTAACGCACACAGGGGCATTAATAGACATGGCCGTGAGCGACAGTTACAGCCACATAGATTTTGGAGAAAATGTAAAAAAAAATGTGCAAAATAAATCTAAATAGTAGTTCAACGAAAAAGCAGCAATTGGTAAATATATAGTTGTAATGATAGAAGAAGATGATTCGTTCAGTCAAATCTCACTCTAGATGGGGGTTATTTTTCGAATAAACACCTCAATTCTCATCACCCAGCCATGGAGTGTGCTGCCCCCAGCGTATTTGAACGTCAGCACAGTGCATAGGACAACACCAATCGTGCCGGCGTTCGTCGCCATCTGTCCGGCAGAAGTTTGCGACCTGCATGGCGTCGGCGGTTCCGTTGAGGATCAGACCGAGACAGCGAGAGAACGACGGCGCCCATCGCGCCGTTGTCGCCGAATTTGTCGCCAGATGTTCCCAGAATAGGTCCTCGCGATCGCTGCTGCCAACCACAGGCACTTGAAGCGTTTCAATAAAATATAATGCTAACTAAATACGAAATCGATTTACACCAAGTCTTAAATGTTTCTATAGGCTACTCTTCTTTCACTATTATTGCCGACAATTTCTGTAATTTTGTCCAAATCTAAAGTCCACCAATGTACGCCTGCCGCGCGCCTTGCTTCTTCGCGCGGCGACTGTTGCAATCGGCTTTACACTAATTACTATGTATAGATATTACTTAATTTACACACTATAATATCCACTATATATCGTATATATAACACTATATAGTATTAGTGTAAGCGTTGCACAGTCGCGCCGCGAAAAGCAATGCGCCGGTAGCGTATTGGATTGGACGTAGGATTTGGACGGAATTTACAGGAACTACTCGGCAATAATAGTGAAAGAGTAGCCCTATAAGAAACATTAAGAAACTTCGGTAGTAAAAGTTATTATTTACGTAATTTAGTTAGCCATTAATATTTTATTGAAACTGTGCTTCAAGTGTGCCTGCTGCTGCCGAACAACTTCCACGACGAATGTCGAAAATATTCGGTAGTTCGTCAAGCCATTTTTGATGTTTAGCGGATGCTTACTTCGAACCTTGCACTGCGCGATAAATCTATTGTTGACGTCAAGGGACACCACCACTTGCCTTACGGTCGTCGTAATGACCCGCGTGATATATGTGCTGGAATCAACACGATCTTGGTCTGGCGAGGCTACAACTTTTCGCAGCGTTTTAGATATCATCGCCACTGCTGCTTCTCCGCTCACCCGAATGAGCGAGGAGCGGTCCACATCAGTTTGCCTGAAATCACGTCGAGGGGGTTGGTGATCGTGGGTGATAGTGTAGGGAAGTAAATATAAGCGCTCGTGTTGGAATGGTTGTCAAGAAGCTCCGCAGTGATTTACGGTAATCAGAATTAGGAAGCCGGCTCGATCTATATATCTTATTCTGAGAAGGAAGATGGGACATCTGGGAATGAGCGGATGTAGGGCGAGAAATAAAGGGCCAGCGCAGCTTGCTTACCCGGCGATAGCGAGGGCACGGGTAGGGAGAACTCTGTTATATTGGCAAGGTATAGGGAAAGTTATGCGCAGTGTAAGTCAGGTCAGAGAAGCATCGTGAACCAGTTATGTCAGCCCCACAATATTTCGTGGCTGGCGCGGGTACGGAGCCTGTTAAAGTCTTCACTAGCGCGCAGACCTCTAATGTGGGGCTCTAGGATTGGAGATGTTATATGGGGGGGGAAAAAGTACAGAAAAGACGGGGGGGTGTTTTAGTTCGCACCGTTTCGAGCCGGGTCATTCATGAAATGGGGGGGTAACAGGACAGGTCTGGGGAGAACCGGAGGAGCGGAGCATGTGCGAACGAGGCCGTAATGGTGTTTGTAGGAGTTGTTGGGGGAATATATAGGAACAGCAGATGTGGGGGTAGTGAGAGAGTAGCGATTCTGGTTTCTGGTCGCGAGAGAAAGCGCAACCGCGCGTGCCGCGCGCGTACATGTGAGGAGGGGGAGCGTGGGTTTTGGTGTGTATCTTTTGTGCGGATGTGAGGATCTACAGACTGATATGAGGTTGGAGTAATAGAAAGACGGTATTCCGAAAATAATAACTGACGAGAGGTAAGCGTTTGTGGGATTCTGAGGGGGAGTCGTAGTATCCGAGATACAGAGTGTGGTGACTACATGAAAACACTCATTTCAACGATGATACACATCTGGCTACGTCTGTTCAAGTGTGGCGTAAGCTCAGGGGCGGGACGGTCGTGAGCAGACGGAGTTGACG